AATCTCACACAATCATCTAATCACAAGATAACATATATTTGAATATATTTTCACCATTTATGACGTTGGTGGCTGTCAGGATGATGGGCCACTGATCTTTCTAACCCAGATATATTGCCAGCTGTGTCACCACCTCAGTATGTGCAAGCAAGTGCAACATGTTTTAAAATGAAACGGGCTGAATTTAATGAGTTATTAACACTAATGTGTAGAATAACGTGCAAGTTAGTATTTTGTTGCTATATATGACACAGCAAACATAACCATATCATGAAAGACTTGGGTTAACAGGAACCTGACAAGATGCTCTCTTTCCTTACGTTTCCTGACAGATAAGTGGTGTATGCAACAAAGTGCGTGTGTGTGTGTGTGTGTGTGTTGTGAGTGTGTATATATAAAAGAGACTTTGAGAAAAAAAAGAGCGTTGACAAGGATGTTACAAACCAGGAGTACAAACCCGGAGGGTTAAATCTTAAAAAATGCCCTACACATATACACATTACACATGTTAACCACATTCATTTAATATTGTGGTCTGTGGAAATCTATTTTCAGAATACACAAGAAGCAATTAGCGTTTCCTATGATGCATATTAGTAAAGGTAACTTCACAGAAACATCTTCCTTTGTAAAGTTTTCAAGTGCTCTCTAATTCACAGCATACTGAACATATATATGGGTGACCACAAGACACTATCTGATTATAACCCCACCACACATCTAAACCACTCAAGTGCTGCAAGAAGAGTTAAATACATGCAACAAGTACAGCAGAATACACCATAGTCCATCACTGTCAACCAAACATTCAAAAAACAAGTATAACATCTTTGGATTTTAGCTGATAATGTCACTATTATTAGACTTCTGTATTTGTAGTTTTGTAATGAGTACATACTTCATTAAGTATTTGCATACAAATGGAATATTAGTGGGTTTCACTTCAGTACTCGTTGAACTCTACATAATACTTACTAAGACTGTTGTCCATTACCTTTCAAATGAAATGCATACATACAGCTTCTATTATAATTTACACTGAAGTGAACATATAACTACAAATACATCTTGACCTTAGATCTTACATTCAAAGAGCTTCGTCACTTACCCAGACACCCAAAAAAGTAAAGCATCAGACAGATAACTATAGATGCTGAGGCTTGAACCTTTGCCTCAGTCGCTCGTCTTCCATAAAATGTGTGTGAGTCTGTGATGCAAGAAACTTAAACCCACCCACAGAGAGGAATCGGCTCTACTTACTTCCCCTTTTTCTTCCTGCTCATTTTCATATCAGCCCTCTGGACAGTTTTGGTGATAAGTGGAAGCGGGATAAACATTAACAAAGGGCCATATTTGTGTGCTCCATATAGTTTAAACTCATACACTTTTATTTGAGGGGATTTCTCGTTCAGTCCACTGCCATTTTAAATAGTGCAGCACAAGAGATTAATACACTTTAAACTGATCCTGTCTGCAGGCAAAAAGTTTGCTCATTGTGTTTAACAAACACTAAATGTGTAACCCTCTGCATTACTTAAAGTTTGACCTCTTTGTTAGCCTGTTTGTTTGTGGTTTTTGGCCTCCTGCTGTGTCCCGCCGCTAGGGGGCAGACTGTGCAGCCTGTCCACCGGGTCTACATTAGGGACTCCTTCCGGTCTCGTCCTTCCTCTTTCCCTCTGCATCGGGTCGCAGCCATGGTATGAAATAATCACACCAATACTTTTTTACAGAATCAAACTCAATCTCGCCGATTAAGAAAGAATTACTGCGTTTGTTTGACTGTGATATGTTAACACTGTCTTTGTTCACACGTCGATGGCAGTATTATTCGCCATATGTACATTTACGGTGTTAAATAGTCTCTGAGCAACGCTTGCTGTGTTTGTGGCGAAACCTACATGCACTCACACCGGCCTTTCTCTTTTCTAAGAGGCATTTTACCTTAAATGTCAGTCAAACTAACAGCTACGGCAAATAACAATCATTTCTCCTTGTTAGCCGGTTGCACATGAACATGTTAACACAGCCGGTCCGCAGTGAATTTACACTACGTGGTTACAAAGCTAACGCGTTAGCTCCATAGCTAACGTTAGCAGCTTTTACTCAGAGGAGTCGCTGACAGGATTAAATGTTAAACACGAACTTTCTGCTCGTTAATGGGACGTTTATAAATGTACCAATGTGACACAATACCGAGGGAGATAAACTGTACACTTATACTCCACATATAGTTAAATAGTTAGCTGAATTAATGCTGTTAGCAGTCGTCAGTAAGCCCACTAACATTACTCTTTTAATTACACTGACTAGCGTTGTCTATATGTATCGTTAGTGAAATTATCAGTGGGATTTAACTTGAAATATTTTACTTTGTCACTAAGTGTTATGCAAAAATGTGTAAGGTTAATATTGTGTTATTTAGGTGAACGTCCCGAAGACCCGCAGGACCTACTGCAAGAAGTGCAAGAAGCACCAACCCCACAAAGTTACCCAGTACAAGAAGGGAAAGGATTCCCTTTACGCACAGGGTACGCACACAAATAAACCCATATATAGTGTGTGTGTGTGTGTGTGTGTGAGAGAGAGAGAATGAATGAGCCGTGCCATGAAGTGTAGCTGAACTGTATTTCTTCTGCAGGTAAGAGGAGATACGACAGAAAGCAGAGCGGGTACGGTGGTCAGACAAAGCCCATTTTCAGAAAGAAGGTATGTTCAGCTTTCTAGTTCTGTTCGATCTGTAGTGTCAAGGATTGTGTGTGTGTGTGTGAGAGAGGTTAGACCCAATGATGTACTGTGTGTTTTCAGGCTAAGACCACAAAGAAGATTGTGTTGAGGCTTGAGTGTGTGGAGCCCAACTGCAGATCCAAGAGAATGCTGGCAATCAAGAGATGCAAGCACTTCGAGTTGGGTGGTGACAAGAAGAGAAAGGTAGGCGTCACTGAAGTCATTTTATTTAGCAGTGTACGCGTGCGCATTCCCACAATGCACTGTATTTTCATTGCCGTGTGTGAATGCTGTCTGAATTGTAAAGATTCTCTCTGAGGTCTAAAGCACGTTGTGTGGATGTGATGACTATCCAGAGGAAATTAAGTAATGGATAATAATCAATCCGCAGGGTTAAACAGTGTACTCACAAATGGGGCCTTATCATCAGGGGGTTATCAGAAAGAATATAAAGTTCAATATTATTTAACATGATGATGATATTCATAAATCATAAAACTAGTAGCTAAACATCAGTATTGTAGAAATTAAACACTGTTCTGCATTATATAGCAGCAAAAGAAATGTTTTCGTATGAGGTTACACACAAATACGCCTGTGAAAGGCCCATACTGGCTATAACATTGCCCATCCAATATCCAAAATGTGTGTCATCTTCTATATGTTGAAGTCTTACTCCCATTACATTACAATCTGATATAGCAGCTGCAAAAATGGTCCAGAAAACTTGGGTCTGTAAGATTTTGATATATTCGGCTGAACTGGAACATTGACAAAATCTCCACAATAGGGAGCAGTCAGTGTTAAATAGTCCACTTGTAGAGGAGAACAGAATTAATTTGGATTTAGATTGAGTGTACAGTTTTTGTACTTAAACATTTCAACAAAGTGGAGTCAAGAAATTGACACATTAGTCAGGAATAAATGATGACAGGTTTGTGAAGGATGTTTTGACAGTGTGCACAAACTCTGACAATAGTGACCATCAAAGCTGCAGAACTCTGAAGCATTCATGATACAGAGAGAACGGCCAAATATTGACAAGAAAATGTCTGAGAATTGTTGATGCCAGTCATACCACATAAAGTTTTGGTGAACATTATAGAAATTGCTCAGATTGGCTGCCTCTTTGTGGCCTCGTGCTCCGGTTGTCTGTTTTAACCTTGAATTAATCAAATTTAATTTCAGTAATTAATAGCTTTTAATCCTATTCTTGACCGTAACTGCCTGTAAATTGATGGCTCTGGAAGGATTCATATTAGAATATAATTTCAGGGACAATTAGATCTTAATTTGGTGTAACTGTGATTCATGAAACACCTTAATGCCAAAAAGCAAAATCAAGAACCGTTGCTAGGCCGTTATCTCATGAACTCAGACACTGAGGAGTGCATAAGAACTGTAATTTCTAGTTTCATTAAAGTGTAATTTCACAAGGATAAAGCTTGTGAGATTGTGGCGCCTGCTCTTTGACAGTGAGGGGGCGATTTTTTATGAGATGAATTAACCATTATGTAGCATATTTATGTAATGGGTTTTCATCATTAATTCCTCCTCAGCCGTCCTCATTAACCTTAAGTTTTATGATTAGAGTAAGATGGTGTAATATATAGGTAGAATATAAAGTAACTGTGCAGCTTTACTTTATAATCAACATATTATCAATCGCTATATGGCCAAGTGCAGACTCCCAAAAATGACAAATAATTTTTTTTAATCCTTTTTGGTTGTGAAAATTCAATTTGTGATGCAAAAATGATCATTCCCCCATAATTGTGAATCAGTGTGTCAGAATGACCTCAATACGATGATTTTACTGCATCATGTAGCCCTTATATAAAGTAAAATGTTACACATGGTAAAACTTTTTTTACTTTTGATGTAAGTTTACTTTTGATGAGGGGTTAAGCAAACAAATGCGTGAACCTGTTCATTAAATCTTTATTTGAATACAGTACAAAAGTTCATCATCATAGATTAGACATTGTCTATCATTTCCAGCAGCATTTAGGGTGAACCATATGTCATTGACACATCTATGTTCAACTCTACCTGAGCATCATTCTAACTAAAGTTTTCCATGTGTTTTCTTACAGGGCCAGGTCATCCAGTTTTAAACTGTGGCCCAGTCTTCTGGAGGAAATTGTCACGATTTTCAATAAATGTATTAAAACATACTTCCTTCGTCTGTGTTTCACTCTACCTGTCATGTGCAAAATTCAAGATGAAGCTTTAGATAATTTAACAGCGTAGTCTGGTCAGTTCAAAGCGGTGTGTAAAAACATTTCCAGTGATTTATTCAACATAAAGTGGCAGGTGTACTGTAATCCTCGTATCCAAGCTGAATGCAAACAGACTAAAACATTTTCCCTTTTTAAATTTAGACACAGTTTAATCTGTTCATATTTAATTTAAAACAATGTTCCACTTGAAGCAGTTAAAATTGTTTTGGCAGCTAAAGTGCACAACCACCCGAGGACTACAACACGATGGTGTGCTTGCGTTTGACAGACGTGTCCTGCCAGTGCACCTTGTTAAGAGCCTTAAAGCTGCTGCTGATGGGAGTGACAGTCAGTAGAGCCGTGCCTGAAGGGTTGACAGTTACAACCATTTTGCTTTGTGGAGTTTGAACACCCATTTCCTTGTACTGAGGCAGGATCTGTGTGACGTTACACTGGGGGTCACAGATCTTCCAGCCAGGAACCGCTCTGATGACGAACCCTCTGGGACCACCAATCTCCTGTTTGTTCAGCACGGCGATAGCCAGTCGGTTCTTGGACAGAGGCCTCTCCCACACTTCAAAACTGTCCACCTGTAGAATAAATCCTGTTATTCACTTTTGACAACAGATGGTAGTACTAGTTCATGCTTAGATGATTGGCAATTAATTAATTGGCATTACTACTTTGTCTGCCCCACATTTATCGTTCATTAATATCACTGCTAAAGGTTTGTCTAAGACCTTGCCAAGACAACCACAATGCACTTCGATTCCTATATAGAAACTGTCCTATAAATGCTGACCGCTGTCATTCCAGGAGGTGATCCTCCTTTGTGTCTCCCCTCACTTACCTTGGCAGTGCGGTATCCTTGCTTGCCCAGCGGGTCCTGGCTGATGGCTATGATGTGTCTGTTCTGCAGCAGCTCCTTGGAGCGAGGACAAATGTCCCTCAGATCATTAGACATGAGCAGAGGGGCGGCCATGATGGTCCATAATGCCATCTGAGACTCCTGCTGGTCGTGACTCAGGCCAAAGTTCCCAATCACAAGCTAGAGAAAAGGTAAATAGAAGGGCAATTTAGGCTTACAGTGTGAATGCAGTGCGTCAACAACCTACTTTTGAGAAACGTGATCGCACTAAAATGCAGGTTTTTAAAAATGTATACTGTTTTCAAACTAAAATGAATTCAGTTTAACCCTTTAATGAGAGTGAATACTACTGTTTGGCCTGTATGGAACCACTTTAATAACTCTTTTGGCTATATACATGAAATATACATCAACTAAAACATCGAGAATGTTAAAAGACATTTTGGGAAATATGATTATTTGCTTCCTCGCAGAGAGTTAGCTGAGAGTGGTCTGATGACCTCCAGTTCAGAAACAAATCTGCACTCTGTCTTCAGAATGCAGCAGCTGGCACTGAGGTTTTTAATATGCTAATTACACAGCTTTGCACTGGCTCTATGTTCACTTCGAGAGCTTGAGTAGAGCGGAGTACCATATCGGGGTCATTCCAGCCTCCCGGTCCAGCTGAGGGGACAATGATGTCTTGATGAGAAGCAGTCCATTCAAGGATGGACTTGATAGAGCTCCATGAGTCGTACACGTCAGCGAAGTTGCGCCAGTGGTTACACGTCTCACGGATGGCCGTGTAGTTGGGCTGCAGGCACAGAAATGCTCTTTAACGGCATATAACACATGATGTATGGTGTCATCAGCTGATTGTAAGTTATCATTCATAAGTACTCCTTATTTCTATTGTTGTACGGATAGAATATTTGAACATAATCATCATATTGGGATGCTTGAATAAAAAATGACTCAATCAAACAACTCCTCCCTCACCTGCTGTAAAGGCCACTCATACAAAGGCCACTCACAGGAGTACAGGATGCTTCTTCCGGTTTTGTTCAGTGCTTCTGACATGTTCACGTATCCTTAACCAGAACAAAAACATTACCCGTTAAAGACACGTAACAGTTGACAGCTCAGAGTATGTGGGGACTGGCTCCACCGTGTTCGGATAATTACAAGTTATACTTCCACTCACCTTCTCCCAGTAAGGTCCAGTCCATATAGCAGCCGTCAAACTTGAGTAGATCTATATCCCAGTCAGCAAAAGTCTGAGCATCTGTCTCATAGTAACCCAGACTGCCGGGGTATCCAGCACAGGTATTTTTCCCCACATCTGCATAGATACCCAGCTTCAGCCCCTTAGAATGGACCTCGAACAGAAACACAAAAATTAACGTTAATTTACAAAGTACTGACTGCTGTTTGTTTTTTGGCAGGTTATGAATGAATGCATGTACCAGCAGGTGGCGATGTTGCACAGTTTAAAAAATTTAAACCTCTGTTACAGGACACAGCTCTGCCTTAGTGGGCCTAAATATATATCTGCTTTCCTGGTGAACATCATGTTTTAGCTGCCTGTGTAGGAATCAGCCTGTCATAGTGGTCTCAAACTCAGGAGAGCTCCTCCGCACTGTGACTGTAGCAGAGAGGGTGATACTCCTACCTAAGACAATATATGCCCACATATCTCCCCTGACTCCAGGTGCTGAATTTCTGCTGGTATGAAATCTGAGACCTGGGTTCCACATCTGGTCCTTTCCCCTTCATTATGTAAATAATTGCAGGTCGGCTCAGATGGATGTATAATGAATCTGTAATCTGACTGTGTAATCACTTTTACCTCCAACGTTATTTAACCAGGCGTTCCCAAACTTTTTTTTAAATTTGAAATAAAGATTTCCAAACTTAGACGCATTGCAGCATATATTCGCTAACACTGCACCCCATGGAATCACATCAGTGGGAATATGTCTTAAATATAACATGGTTTACCATTATATAACTGTGTACACTATTCATAATGCAGCCCAAAGACTGGAAACTAATAAAACGAGTACACACTCTCATTATGCTCCTTCCAGCTAGTGAAATAAGTGAAATGAAAGCAGTTCTCACATTCCTTAAGACTATCTGAACCGCTCTTTCTTTGATGTCTATGGTGGAATTGTGGCATTGATAGCATATTCACACCCAGAGTCTCTGTGCCTCTTTTATACCTACTACTCACATAGTCGGCCAGTTTCTTTATACCCCCCGGGAATCTTTTGGGGTCTGCCTGCAGGCGGCCCTGGGCATCGCGCTGGTGGGAGGGCCAGCAGTCATCGATGCAGACGTACTCGTAACCGGCCTCTTTCCAGCCCTCCTTCACCATCACATCTGCCATCTGCATGTACAGACGCTCACTGCCAGGGCAACAGGAGGAGACAGGCGGGGCTGATAGTATCAGTTAGATGCCAGTGTTCAATGTCATATGCAGGAGCAATATGGCAGACACGTACATGCTGTTTTCATACAAACGAATGCCAGTTTTTCTGTTGTTCATTGTTGTCGACGACCATTCAACCAACAAGCTGACATTTGGTGTTTCTAAACGCTTTGTCGGCCAGGGCTTTCTGGGAATTGCTTTTTTTTTCTGCACACAGGGAGTGAGCTGTTTTAATTCTGTCACTAATCAGCATAGTGGTCCCTAAAATAAAACAGGCAGCAGGATCTTGCATCATTGTGCTCTGCATTCATCAAACAAAAGAAATTAGGCTTGACTAACTTTTAATACGTCTGGAGCTGCAATCATTTGTTAGTTAATTGATTGGTCCATTGTTTTTTAAGCAAAAATGCCAAACATTTGAGATTCTTCTTCTTCATATCGTAAAGTAAACTGAATGTCTATCTGGAGTTGTCACTTTGGGCACTATATATGTGATGGATTTATTGGACTTAATGATTAATCGGTTACCAGAGACAATGATAAGCAGATCATCATTAGTTGCTAGAAAACTGGTAGGTTAACCTTGAGGAGATCAGAATGTTTTACCTGAACCTTCCTTCTGAATTAAGATATCTTTGCAATATAATAATACTTTTACATAGTTCTGAGAGCTGAATCGATTAGTCAATTGACTTAAAATTATCAGCAACTATGTTGTCAATTGGTTATTCAATCAAAAAGGCCAAATGTTTGCCAGCTGTGGCTTCTCAAATCAGAAGATATGTTTGTCTTACATTAAAGTAAATCTCTTAATTAATATTAGTTGAGGAAATAATCGTTTGTTGCAGCCCAATGTAATCTGTGTTGTGACAGTTTTCTCTTTTAAAACCTTGTCTCGTATAATTAATTCTGTTACTTCCTGTCTTTTTCCAGTCAATCCGGCCCATCCCTGTGCTTAACTGGAATGTGTGCATACTTTTATGTTCCTGGCTTACAAATTGATTTGCAAATTTAGGATATCACACTAAACATTGACATCAATATCTCCCAGTGCCTCAAACCAAAGGAAAAAAAATGAAGAAAAAGGAGTCATTATGGTTCTGTGTTATCAAATGTCCACCGCTTTTCTGATCTCATTTTCTTCCTTCTGGGACAGTTTTTCAATTATGAAATAAAGATCTCATAATTAAACGATAGATGGTATAAGTATGGGATAATAATTACACAGAAGAACGTCATATAAATGCAAATGTATTGTTACACATGACTGTTACGGGTTTAAGGTCATACTTATGAGTTAAGTCATGATTACAAGAAAGTTCAGGATTTTTCTATATCCTGTGAAACCATATTGTGTTTCTATAGATTGATTATAAGCATTCTCCATACTGTGTCACTTCATGTAGCCTACACATTGGGATCCCACGTGTCTTGTTTAAAAGTACGTTTCATACATGTTGGATCACTTTCATGTGATTCAAGAACAGACATTTTATAAATGAGATGTCTGAAGAAGGAGGAGGTGGAGTTGAAGCAGACCATGGATGACTAGTAATATAGGACTTGAGTAACGCTTACATGACTGCCCTCCTTGTGTTTCAGCCCTCAGTCTGATGTCTCTTACCTGATGCAGTTATTGGGGTCCCTTTCACAGTCGATATTACACATGAATCTCTCCCAGTGCAACCAGCCCATTGTGGGTTTCAGAGCCAGACCATTGTCCAGCGCTTCAGCAGCACGGCTCATTACACCCACCAACGCGAGGAGGACCACAGCAATGTACATATTTACTTTTAAACTCCCTACTCTCGCACAACAATAACAACAAGCGCCTGTGTTTGCGTTGGTGTCTATTTCCTCCTCGAACAAAACGTCTTCAGCCCGCCTCCCCCCTTGATGATTGACGTAATTCCCGGACCAATCACATTAAAATGCGTCTGACTGTCTAATGACGTTGCGTCCAGAGTCTCTGACTACAAAACTAGGAAGCGCCAAGGCTCAGGTGACAGTGTGCAAGTCAGCTGACTTCACATGATAGGGCTATAATCATACCTTGTGACCTTCCTTAACACTGAAACCAGAACAAAAAATCGGAAAGATATTCATACTGGTATTCATTGTTAGTAAAACTGGGATGTTAAAACCAGAAGTACTAATACAAAAATAATCATCTATAAGTAAAAGTTCTGCATTCAAAACCTTACTGATGTAAAATAATGTAATTACTATCAGCAAAATGTAGCTACTTAAAGGTGCAGTGTGTAACATTTAGGAGGATCTATTCATATAATATTCATAGTTGTGTTTTCAGTAGTGAATAATCACCTGAATATAAGAATCGTTGTTACCTTAGAATGAGACGTTTTTATCTACAGACACTGCGGGTCGCCTTCCATGGAGACCTCCATGTTGAACCGCCATGTTTATACAGTAGCCCACAGCAGACATCCCGAAGACTGACTTGTGTTTTTTCGCCAGTTTCGCAGCCATTGTAGTTTCTCAAACACTTCACATCCCGTTCTTATTCTCAGGTTGGTAAATACAGATGCGAGTGGTGTTCAGTTAGTTGCAATCTGCAGCGTCACTGCTAGATGTCACTAAATCCTCCACACTGGTTCTTTACCAAAAGTAAAAGTACTCATTATGCAGAAACAGAAAACAGCAGAGGGTGTGTTGAACCAGTTTTAACCCACAAAATGCAGATTTTGATAAATTGGTAATAATGTAAATTTTAACACCAGCATTGATGTGTTTCATCACAGTACAGTCACTAACGTTTGCTTTTTGTCTAAATAAACATAGTATTCTAAAAAAAATGCATTATTTTACAACTACTAAATTCCATTATTTATTTCCTACATATACTATAATATTCCTTCATTATGGTAAATTGAGGGAGTGAACCACCATCTTGTATTCAAAATAAAGTCAGGTTTTCATGCAAGATTAACTAAAGAAAAACAGCAGATCCCCTGTACATCTATTTGTATTCACTATCCAGCAGACACCAAGAATGAAAGAAAATGGCCCAATTTACCCGACTGTCCCCTGAGGAGTCTGCCTAATCAAAAATGCCACACGCACTTTCAGCAATAATGTGGGACTATGTACATATCGACGCCGTTGTTTATTAGCTCCAGGTCCAAGACACTAATTTGTCTGGTACAGACGTTAAATGAATTACAGATAGGTTTCTTAACTCAGCTGTAAATAGACACCCTGCTACAGAACCAAATTAATCCTGGACGTTTTCCTTGTGAAATTGTCAGAGATCTTCGCACACATGCAGAGAGAGTGATGAGTTTTTCTATTTGCCTTTTTGTTGAAATTTAAGGAGGCAGCTGGAAATTGTTTACCTGTATTTTCTAATTATATCAGCTATTTTGAAAGTTTGTACGGAGGCACAGAAGAGTTGAAACCTCCAAATATGTGCAAGTTTGTAGTTTTGTAAAAAGAATATTTCCACCCTTTTCCAATGAGCCATCTGGTTCCACAATGGATACATTGTTCTTATTCAACACAGCTAAAGGGGCTATATCAAGAATTCATGACATACTAGCGCGAACAGGCTGTACAGCCACACTGAGCCACCTGAGGGAGGCCTGGTAGGAGGAACTGGGAGTAGAAATCGGTGGAGAAAGGCCTGAGAACATCCCACTCCTCTTCTGTATGAACCACACATGCATTATTACAGACTACACCTATCAAAATGGAGGCTCTCCAACATGTGTTCTAGGTAATACAGTAAATTCATCATGTGACTGATGTGACAAGGCAGACATGTTTTGGAACTGCCCAATAATTTGTTAGTTATAGGACTAAAATATTCCAACCCTGATGTTTTACAGAAGCAACTCAAACCGGACCCAATTCTGGTGTTTGGAGAGAAAGCAGTTATCATAGAGCTGTCAAACAATAAATATAAAATGATACATTTTATGACATCATTAGCATGAAGACTGATTTTGTTGAATTGGAAGCAGAAAAGGCCACCAGCCCATAAAGGTAAACATGTTCTATTTGATATAGTAACCTTATATAGATCATTTTAATGGGATAAAACCATGACTTGTAATTGATAACACAGGACTATATACAGTTATATATATTACATCCACTCCTTTTTGTTGTGTTTGATTTTTTTATGTGTATCTGACTTTAATAATGTAAAACATATGCACACACAATATGTAATTGCATTCAAAAATCCCCCAATAAGTTTCAGAAAAACATAGAAAGAAGGTTGAAACTTGAACATCAGCAAACTGCCTCAGTAAAACCTCTCTGTGAGATGTTCCTGACAGCGCATTGTTGTTGTGAACGACTCCTCGTGTCCCAATATTGAGAGGAGTCAAAACCAAATGAGGCAGCATTCATGAGTTGGCACAAACCCAGATTACAACAATAATCCGCATCCACACTGCTGGCTGTATGTAAAAAGGGAGCATTAATGAACACAAAACCTGACCTTTCCGCAAAATGTCAAGGGTGTCTATTTGAACCCTAAACATTATCAGAGGCTTAACCCAGGGACAGGCCTGAAACAAACAATTTGTCACTTGCTATAGTTCATATCAGTGCCAGTGAGCAAAGGCGTCAAGGCTCTAAATGTCAGATTTCAATTTGACTCACCCCCCTGCTGATGGATGGACCAATCCGGCTCACTTGAATACATAGTTTTCTCTTTGTAAAAATGGGATCTCGCCCACCGTCGTGATAGAGACCCTGGTTTTTTTTGCAGCACTGCATAAAAGAGCAGTGTGCCTCTATCTATACAGCGGTTAATTGAGATTGTCGACAGCTGGGCAACCCGTTCTGTCTGTCTGGCTTATGGCTCCCCAGAGTTTGACACCAATCCATCATGTCCCTTTCTTTGCCAGTGTCACGTAATTGAAGAGACTGTCATGGCTGACTTATGCTGGCAACTTTGTTATAAAGTGTATGGGGATAAAATGAAAGGGAAAGCTGTTAAGGTGTGCCAAGGAGTTCCATTATTGTATTGATCTATAGGGACAGGTGTCAGCAAGAGCAAATGTCATCAAAAAGTTGTGCCTCCATAAATGCAACAACTAACACTATATGTCTCACATACCCTCAGTGGAAAATTATTTATTGTGTTCTAATTAGCTGCTTAAGTTGTTTATGTGACTGTCACAGGGAAAGGAGCCTGCATGTGCTGATGTTGCTGCTTTAATTAGGTCTTTGTTGAACTGAGAAACGGCTTTACAATGACCTGTAAATAATTTTGTTAATTAATATTATTGTTTAGTTGTTTTTTCACATTTCTGCACAGTTTAAGTTGATAAGGTTGATTTACAGGTTTTTTTTAGGGCTTCTTCATTCTGTTTTATCCATTTGAACCATCAGCTTATATGGCAAGCCAACTGAACACACAACAAGGTGACATCTTTACATATACTTCTATACATACATACATACTTACATACATACAACATCTATTTTTGACCTCTGCAAATGCATTTTGACTCATCGTAATTAAAATGTGACCAGTCAAGTTGTAATTGCACATATCTTTAGTATCTGACATTTGCAGATGCCATAACTGTAATTGAAAATAGTCAATTGATGGAAATGCAGATGGTAAATGAAATGTAATGGATGAGCGATAATTTGAGGTATCTCCAAAATAGATTTGGGCTAGTCAGAAATCCTTTTAAGATATCTACAGTGACTTCATAAATATCATTATACTATTTTATAATTTATTTTCAGAGCATAACCACATATAGTCAATCTTTGTAGTTTCTTTGGGGTTAATTTCACCTTTATTTTACACTGGACAGTCCAGTGACAGGAAACAAGTGAAGCAAATGAGAGTGAATGACATGCAAGAAAGGTCCCTGGTGCATCTTAAACGCTCTACCACCAGACGCCCCCATATGGAATTTTTATGTAATATTTAGTCAAATTTTTAATTTAAGCTATCTCTAATTACATTGTGACTAGTAAGAATGAACCATTAAGTTGTAGCCTATGGTGACTCAAAACTGAATTGTAGATATCTTTAATTAGATTTTCAATGGTTCATTCTTACCAGTCAAAATGTAATTAGAAAGTCATAAACGTAGTGTGCATAACTTTAATGTGAATACCCTCAATCTTATCTATGGTATGTTAAATCCACATTGCACTGAAAAGCCATGTTGGAAGGAATTTTTTTTGGAGTATTAATGAAGTGTAACTGGTTATTACATTTTATTTTCCTACATGCTCACAGCTGGGAAGCATATAGTGCAAAGATAGATTTCTCAGTTCTTTGTGGATTAGATCAAATCTTTCTCGACTGAGAAGGGAACCACAGTGTGTTGCATCAACAGCAGTTTTCAAGTCCTGGTTTATTTAAATAAATATAACCAGCTCATCTGACGTTCTTGATTTTCTCTTCTTGATGCTCTGTGTGTCTGTGATTAATTATTTGACGTCTGACACATACTAGACAGGAAAGGAATTAATTTGCTTTCAAATGTAGAAATTGTCTTCACTTAAGTTTCTGCTTCTCTGCGGCTCTCCTGTAGATGTTTAGGCGCTGTACTGGGGGCAAGTCGTTTTTAATCAATAAACCTTCATAATGAATTATTCACCAAATGCATTATTTACTGGCTCACAGCTAAAGGGTTTAATCGAAATAAGCACCCCTGTTCCTCCTGTTTGTTCTTTTCAAATATATTTACTATTTAAGCATTGTGATTTTTTTCAACAGCTCCTACTCTTATGCCGAGACAATGCCTCAAACATTAGTCACATGTGTATCCTGGAAATAACATGCCTAATTATGATTTTATTATCTTGCTGACGTGGAAATGGTGTTCAATAATCGTCTCCTAGTGATTACATCTGAAATATTATTACCAATGATCTCAGGAGCAGCCACCCCAACAG